ATGATCTTCAGAAATCAGTATAATATGCTGCTTATTAGAAACATTATTATTATCATCAATGTTGAACACGGATCATTACTATCATTCAGACGTTAGTAAGTCAGATTTAAAAAAATACAGTTGTTTTTCTTCAACAAGGAGGCATTAAACTGATCAGATGTGACCGTAAAGACATTTATAATATCACAAACATCATATTATATATATTATATATGTTCGTTGCCTTTAATTTATGCTTATTAAAAATTGCATATATGTTACAGTAATGAGTGTTTTCATTGGGAATAAACAAGCTTAACTTTCTTTAAGCAAAGTAGACACTTAGCTCAAACGTTTTTGAAAGTAATTAACACTTTTATTCCTTCAAGGACGCATTCAGTTGCTCAAAAGTGACAGTGAAGACGTTTATAATGTTGCAGAATATTTCCGTTTCAAATAAACGCTGCTCTTTTGAACTTTCTGTTCATCTGTGAATCCTGAGAAGTTAAATGCATCACGGTTTCTGTTTTCAACATTGATGATAATAATAATGTTTCTAATAATCAGCATATTATACTGATTTCTGAAGATCATGTGACACTGAAGACTGGAGTAATGATGCTGAAAATACAGCTGCGCATCACAGAAATACATTACAGTTTAACACATATTTACACAGAAAACAGCTGTTTTACTTTATAATAGTATTTCACATTTTTTACAGTATTTTTAATCAAATAAATTCAGCCTTGCTGAGCAGAAGAGACGTCTTTCAGAAACATTTTTAAAAACTATTCCAAACTTTTGACTGGTATTGTAAGGCACGACTCGTATCTGATATGCACAGGTAAATCCGTCTCGGATCTCCACTATATCGGCTTATAATCGGCTGAAAATCCAACCCTGTGCTTTTCCCGGTGTTCCAGAGAGATGTAATGATGTGCTGGTTTGTGTCTTTGGTTCAGAGCGTCAGTCGGAGCTGCCCACTCAGAGCAAGGCCAGTTTTCCCAGCCTGCTCAGCGACCCCGACCCAGACTCCTCTAACTCGGGCTTCGACAGCTCCGTGGCCAATCAGATCACAGAGTCTCTGGTGTCCGGCCCGCGGCCCGCTCTGGAGAGTGAGTGTGACATGCTCGTGTTTCTGCCGTGTGCTAACTGCAGCTAAACGTCTGGTTTGATCTCGTCTGTCAGGCCGCTTCCGGCCCGAGTTCATCCGGCCCGCTCCGCCG